AAGGCCTCGAGCTCGAGCCGATTCCGAGCTTTAACGAGCCGAACTATAAAAAATTATAAGAACAATATATTTTTTAGCCTTATCGAGCCCAGTCGAGCTTGGCTCGTTATGACCAGAAATTATTCGATGGCACTTAAATTCTCATCTTCAAAAAGAAAAATTTAGGAAGTAGATGTCCATAAAAAGGCACAAATTAAATTTTGGTCCGCTAACTTGACCATTGTTCACTTTTGATACACTATCTTTCCTCTCATTAAAAATAGTCCATTATGTTACACTTTTCATCAGTTTTAGTACACTCATCCCGTGGCCCGGAATTACGAGATGACAAATCAGGTTTTTATCCTATCACATCAATATCCTATCTCTCCACGTATTTCCAATCTCTGTCCACGACATCTCGTAATCCCGCCAATTGGAGTAGTGTACTAAAACTGATAAAAAGTGTAACATAATGAACCATTTTTTATGAGAAAAAAGACAGTATACTAAAAATGGATAATAAACAAATTAACAGACCAAAATTAGATTTTTGCCATCTATAAAAAGGCACAATGAGAAAAATCTCAATAAAAAGGACATGGGGGGTTTGTAATGATTAGGAAATCTGAATTGGCGAATGAATCATAGTCCTCACATAAGACTATTATCCCCACGAATGGTAACATTTGTGTGGCCTCAGGCATGATTGTGACCTTTTCACATAATTCTTTATAGTAGTACCTTTTAGTTGCATTTCTAATAATAATCTAATAATAATAATAATAATAATAATAATAATAATAATAATAATAAATCAACGGCTACAAAAAAAAAAATTGAATCTTGGGTCAGTTGACTAGAAACCGATAACATTGTAGAAATTTTAGTTTTGGAGTAAAAATTTATACTGAGATTTCTAGAGTTTTTATTTATAAAATCTAAATGTTGTGAATATTTAAAACTAATATATTTGAATGACTATTTCGCCCTCGATGTATTTGTATAATTATAAGTTGTGCCACCAGAAGTTTCCTATAAATAGGAGTTTCAGTTATAATGAAAACCGTGCCTAAGAGAAACATTTTCTCTATTCTCTC